GCAACCCTCGGTGCTGCTCCCGCGCCTCGCTCAGCCAGTGAGCAGGAACTGGTCTGTATGTGGGATCCGAACCCTCAGGCGGGAGCGCCGCCGCACTTCCCAAGCGGCGCACTATCCAGTGCACCACCGGGCCGGCCCCTACATGAACAGAATTTTAAGAAGAGAAAGGGGCTTTGCTTTGTGAATAGCCTTAAAACTGACACATTAAAATCATATGGTAATTTTGGATTAAAAATTTTAAATGACCAGAGTATACAAGCAGAGTAAAACCCACAAGTTTGATCATTCATATCTACAGTCAACCTTTTGCCATCACCCCAAAAAAGAAAATAGTGGTTCAAGTACGTGTTTCTCTTAAATACCTTCTTAAGTATGTCTATTTTAGCCTAATAGTGAAAGTTACATTCCTTTCTCACTAATCAGGTAATAGCAGTGAAGGCCTTTGAATTGTATTGGCTTAATGAGAAACCAGCATAGGGGTAAAGTTTTACTGTAGAAGATTGTAGAATTATAATATTTTGATCCTGGAAAAGAACTCCATAATTATCCATTCCATCTCCTTCCTTTTCCAAGTAAGGAAGGGATTTCCTTATGATTTGCCTCTGATCACAAAGCTAGTTATTGATTACTTACTGGACAGGCAGAATGGCATAGTGATTAAAAGCACAGCCTCTGGACTCAGGCTGCCTAGATTCAGTTGCTAACTTTCCCACTTGCTAGCTTTGTGATATTGGGCAAGTTACTTTACCCCTCCCTCTTGCCTCAGTTTCCTCATCTAGAAGCACTGAATCTGCCTACCTTATAGGTTTTCATGCGATAGTATATGTAAAATACATACAATGATGCTAACTTCATAGTGCCACAAGAATGTTTGCTGCTATTACTGATGTGATTCTAAGGCATGTATTTTTTCATATCTCTTAAATTGGAATATCTCTTAAATTGGAATGTATCCAACAATTAATGGCATCTTCCAATTGCTGTCAGTCAGGTGGCCAGCTCATCAGTTTGTCAATACCTGTGCATGTGCGAACTTAGTTATACTATAATTGGTATCATCATTTCAATTGAGTTATGGACACAGTGTCAGTAATACATATGTTGGGTTTGATTGCCATTTTAAAAAATATCTTGAAATGATGTGGCATTGAAACAAAAAGTTATTGAATACAGAGAAAAGGACAGAACCAAAGAAGAGAGATGTAAATTTGGTTTTAGTGAAATAAACATTTGCTATTGAAGAAATCATCACAATTTCTTTTACTTTTCTTTGAAAGCAACAACCAAGTGCTTTATGAGAGCCAAGAAAGAAAGATGATCAAAAGTAGATGAAACATTGTTTTGTACTGAAATCTGTAAAAACTGGTTGCCGTTTAAAATGTCAAGCAATGTATTGAAGGCAAAAAGAATTGCCAGAATTTTCTGAGTAGACTAAAAAAAAAAAATCAAAGCAGTGGGAGGCTGGTGTGATTCACTCAGGGCATTTAGATCATAATTAAAAGCACTTTTTCTTCATTTAGAGTTTGTCTTATGATAGATGGCATCTCAAATTTGGTGGAATATAGTATTATGTTTCTTCAGGGACTTAAATATTCTTTTAGTAACCATTGCCTGGCACTAAAGTAGTATTCGGATATTTAACAAAGTCATGAATGGATGAGTGAGTATCTTGACTTCAACTCTGATGTATCATTCTTTATTGTGCTTGTCTTTTATATTGGTCAATAAATAAGTAAATAATAACTGTATATAAAAATATAGTAGTTGTTAAATTAGTAATTTTTGAAATAATTAAGCAAGTTGGTGAATCACAAATACACCCCCAAACATCCCTAAAATCTTGATTTTAAAGGTTGATTTGAGCATTTTGTTTATTCCATAAAAAATCTCCCTTACCTGTTTTTCTTATGCTATATTTGCAGAGCAATTTAACCATAGACCCTAAAAAGTTTTGCTGCAAGTTGGAAGCAAATTTTTTTTTTCTAAAACAGCTGAGATTCTTTTAGTATTTGGTCATGTGCCAGTAGTTGTCACCACATTTTGTTTTAACTAGAAGTTTGTGAATTTTTTACCCTTGCATTTCATGCTTAATGGCATAATCTCTTTTTAAAAGGCAGATTTGGAGAAATTGTAATTATTGTGTTCTGGCGCTTGTATTTACACCCTGCCATTGAAGGGATTTTCTTATTTAGAAACTATCTGCAGATATTCTTGTTATTTAATGATCATGAGCAAAAGAGCTAAGATTAATTTTGCTTGACCTTGGAATCAGAACTGGTTCTCATCTGTTAGCATATTATTTTTTTTTAAAAGTTGTCTGGCCCACTTATAGCAGTTTCCACTAACTGATGGACAAATTCTTATTTTGTTGAGCAAATTTGGTGCCTAAATGAGAGACAAAGCTGAGCTGGCATAAGCTGCCTGCGGGATGGGGAGATGGATGGAGGGAGAGGGGAGAGATAACTCTTGTTCTCTCTTTTTTCTAAGAAACAAGATTTACCTGAGATTACATGGTCATACCTTTTTTATGCTGTATTTGCAAATCACTGTTAACGCTGGACTCTTAAAAGTTTTCCTTTAAGTTACAAGTAATTGTTTTCTTTCTAAAACAGCTAAGTATTTTTTAGCAGTTGGTTTGGATTTTTGTTTTGGGTAAGAGTTTCTTTATGTGATTAAAAAGATTTTCCACAAGCACTTTTTCCCTACAGCCAGAGTGACCTTCCTAAAGACCAGTCTGACCATGTCATTCCCATCTCCAGTAAGTTCCCTTTGTTTCCGGGGTTAAGTCCCAGGTCTTTAGAGTAAATGGCTTACAGGCCGCTTCATGATCTGGCTCCTGCTTCCATCGCCAACTGTGTTTTCCCCTGCTCTTTTTTTCTCTGCTTGTCGTCCTTCATATGGCCACCCAGGTTCTACCTGAAGTCCCAGCAGGACTAGACAAGTCATTTCTTGATTTTGCAGCATTGCTTCCCCTTAGGACCTTTGTCCATGCTATTGTCTGTCTGGAACACCTGTCCTCCTTCAACTGTTTATTCTTCAGGTTTCTCCTTGGTGACTGCTTTCTACTGAGAGCCTTCCTTGATACCTCCCTCCCAGATTTGGTGGTGCTGTCCTGTGCACTCCTGTAGCAGCTGGTACTACTGCAATACCCCATTTGCTTACTTAACTGACCTACTAAAAGTAAGCTATTTAAGAACCATACCTGAGTCTATATTATTTACAGCTGTCTTCCCAGAACCTAGCAGAGGCCAGGCACATAGCAAGTATGTACTCAAAAACATCTGCTGAATGGATGACTAGTAAGTGTTCACTGAATAGTTATTGCCTTGAAGCAAATCTCCAAGTTGAGTACTCCGTATAGATGACT